TTGCATTGGAGTCACACTGGGTTAAATATGTACACTTGGGTTTTAAGGGGTATTTATTATTTTCTTCTTTTTTTTGGGTTGTATGGAAGCCCCAAACGCAATTTCATTGTTCTTGACAATGACAATAAATAAAAACTACTACTACTACAACATGAGACACGACTGACTGGGGAGCAAGACAATAAACATGACAAAACTAAACCTACACTAAACCTAAGAACTAGAAATCAAAAAACAAGAAGAAGAACTAGAGAGCCAGAAATACAAAAGAGAAACCCAAACACAAAGCTGTCAAAAGCTATGATAAAATCAAAGATCAATAATAGTACAAAGTCAAAACACTGGGATGGGTGACATAAACCAATTGTTAACCGATTGTTATCAGAGGACATAAAAAGAAAAAAAAACATTTAGCTGGATGCTTCTAGGGAAGGTGCAGTTTGTGTGCCAATGTGCACATTTTTGACTAAAAGTTGCTATTGTCCAGTAATTGTAGACTTCAGGGATCTCTTGCTGGAGGATTCTTAACACAAGTTGGAACCAATTATAAAACCAAGTATTATCTCTTGTAAACGGTCAGGCTGAAATCCTCCCTTCTTCAATTAGAATTTGATACCCAGGCTAACCATCGCTGTGGCCTGATCTGGCCTACACCCTTGTCCTAAAACTTTCAGATTAAAAAACAGAAACTATATCTACATGTTTACATTTTTGTTTACTGTCTGAATGGCCCAGGGGAAGAACCTCTTTTTAATCATGGAGCTGTGGGACCTGATTAACCTGAAGTGCTGACTGGAGGGCAGTGGGTGAAACGGGTGGCGAGCAGGATGTGGCCCTGGTTTTCCAGAGACAGAAGTAGCTGGAGATGAACTTCAGTGTTGGTAGAAGGCAGCCAGTGATTTGGGGGCAGTGTTAATTACCCTCTGTGGAGCCAGACACCCAGACGGCAGGAGAGCACACTGTCCACTGAGGAGTGGTAGAATACCTGGACCAGAAGGAGCTACTGACCTTAGTTTTAAGTTGTACGGTAATTTATATTGGACAGTCAAATCAGAGTGATGATTAAGTCCAATTTTTATCATTTAAGGTGATTGCCAACACCTTTTTCTTTCTAGGCAGCACTTTGAAACAGTGATCAGTGATGTTTTTATTTTATTTCTCCTGGATTATTGTAACTCACTTCATGTGTATCAGTTGTTACCCTTAAATCTGCTGCTGGTTCAAAATCAAGCTGCACAAATGAACTCGTAAAAAAGAGCATATAACTACTGGCTACCTTTATATTTTAGAGTTCATTTTAAAATTCCTATATTGGTTTTTAAATGTTTTCTCAATCTTGCCCCACCTTACCTCTCTGAGCTTCTTCACCCCTACACATCCTGTCAGTCTCTCAGGTCAGCTGCTCCTGGAAGTACAAAAGGAAGCTTAGAAGGGACAGGGCCTCCTCTATCATTGCCCCAAAATTCTGGAATAACTTGCCCTTGTGTGTTAGAGGCCCCTTCACTGTCCTTTTTAATTACACTTCTTAAACTTTATTTTTACTCTTTGGCTTTCAGCCCCAGCAAGACTTAGTTTTCCTTTTAGTTATTTGATCTTTTTAATTTATCTTTTATTTTACATCTGTCAGCTGGTGATCAGCTGATCACGGGGCCGGGTTTAAAAGAGATGCCACCCACCTGTTCGCCGCTCAGACATCGTTCTCTTCGTGTCAGGAGCTCCGAAACTTTGACGACGTCAGTCTCC